GAGTCAAATAGGAGGTCGCCCTAGCCTCACTTCAATATTTGGGGTGAGAAAGGTGCAACGTTTTCCACCAATGTGAGCCTGTATGTCGCTTCGGTCAGGTCAGTGTTTTGTACCGCATTGGAAAGTCAGCCTCCGTGTAGATCGAGACCGATTGCAGCCGTAAGAGGCGCTTACATCTGATAGAATCACCACGCCTCTCGCCAACTCTAGTATGACTAAATTTCATTCTATTCCTGCTGTTTGCAAGTCTGTGAATTGCTACCTGTCGGCTGGTCGCAGCGAAACAACGTGAGGCAAATATTTTGCTCAACTAAATTTGCGATGACGAAAATTTTTCTACATTCGAACCTGACACCTCCGGAGTTCGGGTGAACCTCAGAGCACGTGCATCACCTTCCCCACCACTAAACAGTGATGCCTTCAATAATTGACAGTAACGTAGAAAGAAATTACTGCAAAGATTCACTATATAATCGTTGTCTTCTGTACGTCTTCATTCTGATATCATTGTCAGTCCAGTGAAAATTGTCCTCATTTTTCTCATAACTTATTTTATGACATTTAATCTTAAAGGCCTGAGCTAGCAGTCAGGAGAGTCATTCAAAGCATTGTATAACGCTTCTTTAATATTAAAGCAGTAATTTTTCTAGGTGCTTTGCACTCATCAAAAAGTAAGGCACCGTTCTTTTAATTGAACGACAGTTTTGCCCATTGTGAGCACCTCTTTGCCATTAGTAATCAGTAGAAAATATAGTTTTTTTTAACATCAACAGCATTTTGCAATGTCATTTCAAGAATGAAAACTCAAGATGCACAGAAGATTATAACGATTTTGACGACGAACCGTAAACATTGGTACAGAAGATGTGTGAACCATTACTGACCTGGAACTTCATTCGACACAACGCAAATTGGTACGTTGGTGCAAATTCTCTCACGATCGAATTAACGTGCATTTCTGTTCGACCCGATAATTAATTGACATACCTTTGTGTTGACTGAGAAGAATAAACATATGATTAATATTAATCATAGCTTAGAAGAATGCCCTCTATTACATGACGATTCAACTGCCGTATCAAACTCAATTTTTGATTACTCAAATTCTTACTCTCTCATCATTTAATCATCGACAGTTAACCGTAATGAGTAGAAAGGAAGCGCTATTTTGCCCTGAATGGAAATTCAGTGTCCAACAAGAACGAGGAAATAAGCTTTAGGTCAATAAACACCGTTGCACGGTCCGATTTGGAGAAATTCGATATTCACGTTCAATTTTTCGAACATTTATGTAAACGTCTTTTTTGTCGAAACATTGATTGAGCTCTCAAGGAAAGACCACACGGTGGAGCCAAAATTCTAAGACAGCAAGCTGAAGAAAGGATGGAAGCAAGCTGAACGTTGCGATCGTGAACTGCTGTTGTAACGAGAACTCACATAAACAGTAACATGATGGGAATGACAATGCCTGGCGAAGAGAGGAATGTCATCTTGTTGTAGACTTCTTTCGGAAGGGACGACTGAAGCTGGTCAGTCAGTATCGAGTAGAACTTCTTCTTGCCACTAGAAAATACGACGTTAGACGAAAACGCGAAACACGAGAGTCGACGATGGCCGCCCGCTTTCGTTTACCCGAAAGGTCCACAGGTTTTCGAAGGCTCCTTGGACGCGATCACGTAGCCGACCGGCAAGATGCACAGGAACATGATGAGCAAAAGGAGCATGTAGTAGAAGTTGCTAGACCTGCAACGACAGATGGAACACAAACTGTTATGCGATCGATCATTACTTGGAAGCCCTGAACACTTCGGTCGTCGGAATGTTGCACGTCAGCACGGCCCATCCTCGAATGTACATCAAAATGATCAGCTTAACGTTGTTCAGCGCCGGCAGCAGCGGCGAAAAGAACATGCCAAGCCAGATCATTCCTTGGTTGTTGATTACGTGAAGCACGTTCTCGGCGACCTTGAACTCTCCGTACTCTGGCTAAACAAGCAGCTTTAGCTTTAGGACGACAGACGACGCAGAAGGAGATTACAAATGTCGTTTCCAGGTTCCAGCACCACCACTTTGAGCAAAATCTGACCCACATGCCTCTGATAAAGTCGATTACTAAAACCGCTGCTATGGTCATGATCAAGTCCATCGTTATCAGCTTGGCGATTTCCTGCAATTTGAGAAAAGCGACCAGATATGTGAAAAGTTATACTTGGTGCAACGTTCGAAGACATTTCATAATGGAAGCACAGCATGACTCAATAAATGAACACGTTTTCTCATTTTATGTTTCCTGACCGACCAGGTCGTATAGGGCTCTTATGCGGCCAAAGGCATTCGGCTGCTTTCACAATGGTAATAGGTGAAGCAATAAAATATAGCACTTTCCCCTATTTCTCAGGGCCTTCCCTTTTGAGTTTGCATTCGACGATGATGCAGGCAACTCTGAGCTACTCAAAGTACAAAGTGCGACTGATCATACCCGTTGTCGTAACATATGAAAGCTTCCAGGCGCTTCTAATGAAACCTCTGAACCCCACGAATTCGGTCAACAGTTAATCAGGAAGACAATGCTGCCATTTACAATGCACTTTACCTTAGTGCAATTGCTTCCTCACTACTCACTTTACTCACTTTCATTCTATCAATGAAATTCTTTGGGCTTGCAAATTCATCGAAAAGACCGCTCTTCGCATGCTGATAGACTCGATTCCAAGGCAAGAGGAATGACTCTTGTAATACATGCGAGGTCGATCACTGATCAGTAAGATTGCTACAGTATTGTGAACCATTTTGTAACACGAAGTGAAATCGTATGTTAAAAATGTAGTCGATTCAATATGTTTCTCCCTGATATTTATTCATTTGCCGTTTACACCTTGCGGTAATTTGTAGCTATTAATCGTAAAGCGAAAAAATCACACAACACGGCTGTTGTCTCACGCCTGGTACCATGATTACACCAGAATACCATTGTGTCGCTATTGCCGCGGGTCAACAACCGCCTCCGCATTTCGGGGGGGGGGGGGG